GTAATATTTTGAATGCCTTATTCTAATTTCGTCCCAAATTTTTTTTTGCTGTTTGTCGTACGTCTATTGCAACTTCAGAATAGTATATTTTTCCTAAAATCACAGATATTCGAACGAGATCGCAAGTCTGCTGGGCTAAAGACACTAAAGATAAAAATTCTTTTTCTTTACGGAGAAAGTATTAATTCAAAGAAAACTCATGGACGTTTGAGTTCATAAAATAATGTATATACGTAATTTAACGGATAATTGTGGATATTATTTATTTACATACACGAATCTAGTTACTTTATCATAAATTCAAAGTTTTTTCCATTCTGCTTGTCAAATTCGTTATATTACGATCCTTCATTATCATCGATAAATGGTAAGTCAGATGATATTACATATAATTCGTCTACCGTCTATTGGGAAACAAATATTCTACTGTGAAAAGTGAAACTGAAATAGATCGAGTAAAATCGCATCGTACTTCTAGAGAGAAAGAGGAAAAGAGTTTTTTTACATGTAATCACGTATTTCAATGCAAACAGATAAACTTCTAAAAGATCCTGGACTCTCACGACTGGCACCTAGACACAAGAAACTACGAAGAGGAACAGCGAAACATCTTGGGTTTCCACGTCTGACACCTAGACGCAAGAAACTACGGAAAGAAACACTTGACTACCCTGAACTTCCACGTCAGACACCTAAAATACGGGAAACTACATGGCAGAATAGGAGACACACACATACGCACATATTTGCACCTGCGCCGCACACGAAGATCGGTTCTGCTAGTCGGGTGCGGACTAAAGGCTAATAATATATAATATAAATTTATACTGTTGTGAAGGTAGCTTTATACAAGCTGAGAATTTGGTGCGGACGGTAACTTGATGGACAAAATGTGTTTTTGCGTTGTGTACATGAACAGTGCAAAATGAAACTAAGCCGTTGAAAACTTATTTAATAGATATCTCATAAACGAGTGGGCTGAATAACTTGATATTTTGCTTAGTCAAAGAGGTTTATCCTTAGAATAGAAAAAGTCCATAGCATTTTATTAAACCTGGATTAATTTTGAGAAAACATTTTTTCTTTTTTGAAATTGTCACTATAGCCAGTGTACTGCTGTATAGTGACTCTAGTTGTCTCGCGCCACTACGATATACGCACTTGGTTGAGATTGAATATCTTGATGAGACTCAACTTATTGGATAGTATGTATTTCGTATATTACTACTGGCACACGCGTTTGATCGAATTGCACTGGCGGTCTCTTTGCAACTATTTCTACTTCGATGATGCGATAATGCTTGTGTCATGCTGTACTCAACCCTTTCTACTATTGAAACATCACAGTGTCATACGTTCAGTGAGCAATGAAAATATTGGGACACCCTAATATTTTCCACTTGTTGTCCGATACGCTGAATATTTACGAACAAAAAGAAAAATGTAATTGACTGCTAAATTGATTTTTAAAAAGTGATATCAAGGATTGAATCTACATTATGTACGTTTCAACGATATTATTAGCTTAATAAAATAAATTATTTTCCAATTGACGGACAATATTTGTAAAACAAAAATTACCATTTTTTATTTTGGTATTCGCAATAATAGTAAATAAATTATATTTTTCATTACATCTTTAACGTCTGTGTGACTAATTTAACAAAACTTTAAGATGTCGATTTTTCCACGTTTGGCCAATATTGAGAGCAATGAAATAAAAATTATTATGCTTTTCGAATATTATCGATACTCGGTGTACGTACAAACAGCTCGTTAGTTACCCTCCATTTTAGTAGCAAGAGACTTAACTTTTAAAATTGTTAAAAAAGAGAAGAGACTACATATGTAAAAGGAGTATCGACTTTTTGCAAGCAAATGATTGATGGATCATCCGAGTACGATGGGATTTATCACAGAGGAGTCTTGTTCATTGATTTCGTAGATATCGTCGAGTCATACAGTAAACAAAAAATGTCAATCACTAAAGATACGAAGAAGATGCAAGAATAGTAAAGGACACCGAGGACAAAAAGGACAATTTTCTACAAAATTTGAAATCAACTGCATTATCGATTATAAGTTTCGAGCTTCCTATTGGAACGGCAAACACACACGTAGATATAACTACTAACACTAGCAGTTACCAGTAGTAGCAGTCTGGCCGCAGTAACGCAATAGCGTTCGATTATTGGCGGTGGGTTGTCAAAGGTTGCCAGAGTATGTGTGCCTACGTATTCGTGTAGGCTTGAACGTGTACGTTTGCTCGTATATCAAAGCGCCTCCTATTTCCCATCCATTCCACATCCACTTCCGCTTTCCCGCTTTTCCGAAGCGGGATTGAACGCCGCGGTACGGCGTATCGTGCCAACTGAAAGCAAGTCGGGCTCGTTTCTCTTTGTTCGCTCTTGCTCGGCACATCTTTTTGCACTCTTTCCTTCCATCTTTATTCTCTTTTCATTCAGTTCCTCTTACTCATTCCTAATATGCGTCCTCGCGACGTCCTTTCATCCGTGCAACATACTCTTTATCGTTAGGATCCCATGATACGTATATGGATGTATATACCAAGTACATTACTTACTAAAGACAGGCTTAGAGAAATTCTCGGCATAAGGGTTGTTTCCAGGACCATAAAGAAACGCTCAAACGTGATAGGTTATTAAATGTCTCAAGGTTCAGATTTTTTAAAAACAAATTTGGATTTTCCATAGATAAATGCCACTTCAAAGCAAAACCTCTGTACCTAATTATATACATACATATAGATGTGTATACCTATGTATACGAAAAACAAAAAATCGTTGTGTAACGAAATGTATGACTCTTTTCTTGTTTCCCTTTAAAATTCAATTTTGTGTTTCTGTTGATCGATAACAGTGCCTATCATTCGGGAATCATTTTCTGCGAGATCGTACTGCGCCCTCCAGCATTCACTTGATTGAAATAGTAAGAATTACTACTTCAGTTGCAACCCTAAAACAAAGAACTTTTGATATCTCCATTCTTTCTTTCTTTTTTTTTGTTCCTTTTATTTATTCGTTCGTTTGTGTTTGCTTACGGATGCAACCCTGCAAACGAGTCGTTGATTTGAACTTTTGCTTCTTTCTCCTATTGAAATACCAATAATAATAATAATAATGCACGCGCATCCGATAATTACCAATCTCAGCCAATATTACCAACATTCATTCCATCAATGTGTATGAAGACTGATGATGCTACTAATTCATAGGCACACGAAGCGTATCACGCTCAGTGATGATGGATGATATGAAACGTCACGTTACAAAAGATATTTCTTTTATCAGACGTTGCTTTTCGTTTTCATCAACGCCTTTGTTTTTAATTTGACCCGTAATTGCTGATAGGTTACACAATTATGATATTTCCATGCTTTTTGTTATCGGTGCTGTGGTATTACTAAATTTTGAAAAATATCTTATTGTACCATGAATTTTGTAACGGGTAACAAAAAAAAACTCATGTGAAGAGTAGTTACACATTTCACACAACTTTCTTGCAGTACTGTACGGTCTATGACTTTTTGCGATACGTGCATCCATTGGTACACTATTATACATATTTCACGTGCAACGAACCAGAAGGGTGGGATTCGATGTTCCGTGCGCCATCCAATCGCCGCTTCCGAATAGTCACACGACCTACGTGTGAGATATGTGTTGAACCCATTGGCGTAGAAAAGTATGTCTTTCTGTTCGAACATCATTGATGAAATGTATAGAAAAAAAAAGTAAAAAAAAACTATTCATTTTCAAATTACAAAGGCTCAAGATTGTGAAGTGTATTTCTATAAACAACAAATGTCAAAAATATTACATTTTTTATCAATGATCTACAACGTATAAAATAAATGATGGTAGGAATCAATAGTGATCCTTTAAAGTTCACATTTCTGATTGATCCATATTTTTCATTTTTCATAATTCACATCTTTAGATGTGAAATTCGTTTTAAAAAATTCCATGGTACTTTCGCATAGTGCACTACTGTATAGTGCTTTTAAATACTACTAGTATCAGTACTCTACTATTAGGTATACACATATGTTACATATCCGAAGACAGTGCTAGCTCAGCGAAGGATTCGGAAAGTTACCGAGGATACGAATCCTTGGAGTTTCAGTAAAATTTATTGGAAGGTTCGACGCCCGGCAGTTCACTTCAAATGGGGGAACCACTGCAGCGTGGCCGATGTAATCCGCTTAGAGCGTCGCAGTCTGACGGATTCACGAACGGACGGGCGGACGGACCAACGCCACTGATGGTATGGACCGACCGACAGACAGAGCTGATCCTCGAAAGCCCCGAAAATTCGAACCCAACTCAACCCAAACGTAGCTCGAACTTAAGCCGAACCTAACCTGTCCTAACCTAACATAGCCCAGCCTAGCCCACGCCAATAACTAACCTGACATAGGACTGGATAACCTAACCTAATCTAACCTAGCCCAGTCCTTGTGTGATCCAACCTAACCAAGTCTACTCAAACCTGGCTGAGACACCATCGACCAATGGGAACCGTAGCGACATGCTCGACGTGATCTGTTTGACTCTGGCTAAACCCATACTGATCCAAATCCATAGTAATCTACGACGTACTAATATGGTTAATACCGACATTCTATATCTATAGAAAACAGTAGGTACCCGCTTTCACGTTAATCTCAACTAATGAGATTTCATTCTGCCAAAAGTATGACATTGTTATAAATTATCGAAAGAAGACAGGTCTCCCTTAAGCCACAACCGCATTGAGCATGCAGTCTCAACTTTCGAATTCGAAGTGCTGGATATTTTTAAATGTTATTGTTTCATATACACTACCGGTCAAAAGTTTAAGTTCACTTGCTTTATTTTTGAATTCTACACAATTAAGTCGGCTACACAGTGAATTTTGTCAAGCACGTGCGTCTTACCTATAACAAGTCATACACGATACTGGTCAGAGTGTATAAGAGAGTTTGCCGTGTTTGGGAGACGCGTAGATCGAGCACCAACTTGTTATGACAGGTTGCATTCTCTCGATGCGTCTAGTGCATATTACGCGTAACATCTTACTGCTCGAGAGCTCTTTCCAAAAGTTATATTTCCAATTGTTTTTCATATTTTTCTTTACAAAAAGGTAAGTAGAACATTTTTCATATTAAAAATCGTTACTGTTAAAGAAAAATGTATATTTAAATTGATGTAATTCGACAAATATCATCTCATTATTGAAATGTGAAGAAAACTACATATTTTATGTGTCAATCGTAGGGAAATGGGTCGAAAAGCAGAGCTGAGTGTAGAGACACGAGCAGTCATTGTGGCATTACACGAAGAAGGTTATTCAACGCGAAAAACTCCTTCTAAATGTGATGTTTCTCAAACTGCAGTCATGGGAGCGTTACAAAGAAAGCAAGGTGAACCTAAAATTTTGACCGCTAGTGTACATCGTAAACTTCATTTGGCCTATGAATTTCAACCCGATCCTATTAACACTTCAGCTTTATAATTATTCGAGCGAAGTTTCATCATCAAAACCGTCCTCTTTACAATATCAAAAGCGAAATAATCAATAATTGAAAATGCTCTATTTGCAACATATACTAGGAGCACCAATATTTATATCCCACATTTATGAAAGCGTCAGTACATATAGTTTATTACTGTAACTATTGCTGCGTATATTCGAATAGAGCAATATCTTAGTGAGGACATGTAAAAATATATATGCATTCTATGTGTGCCTGGACATGTATGTATTTGAATACAATATACTTATATGAGTAATACATTGCTCATAATAAGTTCTCAAAAGACATTTATTTTATATGTACAGAGAAAAGTCGGGTAATTACAGATTTAAAAAATAATGTTGCCAAAGCAATTTTAAAAAAATCATGATTGCTCCACCGTGAATTAATTTTATGAGTATCCCCGTTTTACCTCAACTACCCGTTTGCCCAAATTTCTTCCAGGCATCATCCAATGCCAAGTTTATTTGCTACATTTATATTTGGGCACAAGTTAAGCTCTCAACTTGATGCAATACTAGAAATTTACTTTGGGTCAATATCTGTTCGATGAATTTGCCGTGTATACCTAACATAGTAAAAAGTTTATTGTAAATGTATGTCACAAAATTAAAATGCAAGAATGTCAAGTTAGCAATGTAAATCTGTTTTGGATGATATGCTACGACTAAATCAGGTCGAAGATCGACTACATTTGCAACTTAAGATTTATAGTTGCGAGTTCTGTATTTGTACTGAATATCATGACCAACGACAGCCAGTGACGTCCATGATTTCACTGAAGGCATTCAAAATATTTAATGTAGCTGTTACGTTACATTAATACACTTATATTAAAGTGTGCTACCTAAAAATATTACTTTAATATATTATATTTGTTCCAGAAAATACTCTTTATTTGTGTATTGATTATTTCACACCCTGCCATCTTGCGACTCACTTTCGATGACACAATCGTGACCCTGATAGAGTTTTGGTTACGTTTACTAATATCGGCCTGAAAGGGAATGCGTAGCTTGTGATATTGGCATAATAGTTGAAAATGGGCTGAGCCCATAATTATAAGTCATAAATAAGAAACCACCACCACCATTGTCATGATAAGGGCGGCACCTTCGCGGAACAAGTTATATCAGCAGGGATACGCGGAGTGAGTAACCTGACGACTGCCAGTGAAGTAAAATGCTGTAGAGAGAAAGAAAAACAGAACCAACGAGATCATTAGTACGTTTTCTTGTTCTATTTATTTTGGAGCCACAGCCAATCGAGTTAAATAATACCACTTACCTGTAACAAAATTTCCAAATGCCAATGCTCTTTGGCCAAAAATAATTAATGATTATCGATTAACTACTTGTGATGAGACATATAATATACAATATAAAGTACAATTTATGCAAGAGCTATATTTCTTGTATTATACTTTGTGTAACCTTCGTTCAGCAAAAATTTTTATCGGTTCACATTACATTGTCAAGCAATACATCCGAGTATATTCGCATCACAGTAGTAATAAGTTCCCGCTAATCTGAATAACCTTAAACATTAAGTAACAACAATTCGTAGGCATCACGACGCCCAATTCTTCCGAATATCTAATGGATATCCAATCTAACGGATATATAAACGGCGACGTTTCACGATTCGAGCATTCTATCACCTGAGCTACCTAGCTTACCTTTAGTTAAGCAACGAGCAAACCGTCTCAGACAAGCGGGCGAACCGTTCCACTTGACCATCATTTATAAAGGTACTTTTACTCTTGTAATCGAGCAAACCGTCTCTTCTACCACATAGAATCAATCTCTGCATTTCAGTTGGGCCGTGACTTTGACAAGTTAGATCATTCTGCCTCTTCCGTTATACATGCCAACCTAACTTCATTTAAAGACCTGCACAACTGGCTACTCTGCGAATGAAACTTTTTTCACCTCACCGAGGTAGCGACGTTGTTTTAGAAAGGACCACGTTTACCTGTGATCACGAGTTCCCTAGTGGGAGACTGTTCAGCAGCACGACGTTTATATTTTAACGAGTCAACTCAGTAATTAAATTCCGTCAGTTGGAAGCTACTTTCAGAGACGATTCTATATTTTATTTATACAATCACAACAAGGGTCAGGATAGGATAACAAGAATAATAGAAGAACCTGTTATTCCCGTTCCCGACAGACGTATCATGTAGATAAACCGCGTCTAATCGTCGTATCGATACAATTATTGACTTTCCGATCACTAATCTTCTGTATATACCATTTATAATAACTGCTACTTTCCGCTTACGTTTATATCTATTTTTCGCTTACTTACATCCAACATTCTCTATGCTGGACCTGCACTAACCCTTTTTGTATTCCGTTGTAGGGCAATATACTTTTCTTTTGTAATTTGTAAAACAAAGTTTCAGTTTCATTTCTTTTGTTCCGTCTGATCTTTTTTCTAAATTCCTAACAGTCGATTCTGGCTCGAACCCGCCTTTCTGATCTGAATGATCCGGAGAACCGCATCGTGCGAATAAGGTTACAATTTATTATATTTAACAGGATTCCAATTAATTTATACACCATGTCTCATTGTTGAATTATTCTGTTGTTAAGGTAGTTCTATCGCTTTTCACTCTTCTTACAAATCTTCTAAAATTTTAATATTTTGTAGACACAATTATTATGAACCGATTTCCAAATTGTAAAGTCGACCCACCATTTAGTTTATTATATAATTGCCTTTAAAAATAGCACTTTTTATACACACTTCGTATACCTAACATGCGCAAAGATACTACTTCTAACACATTTTGGATTATAACTGCTAAACGGATCTTACCATTTTTAAATAAAAACAGCGGGGTGTAAAGTAGTATTGTGGGATTATTGTGAAGAAAAATGACGATGTTTGACCACATAGTACTGGAGATATCGTCATACAAAAAATATAAATTCCATTCCAACCCGAATATGGCGACGATCAGCGGTGACGCAGCGGCAACACTGTATGAACAGCTAACTGTTCCGCGCGCGCTAAAGCCAATACATTTGAAACTTACTATTGCCTGCATTCTGGTATTCTGGGAAGAACTTGAAATAATAATTTTTTTTTCGAATGAAACATTTCATTTATTAGAATATATTAATAAAATATACTAAACGAGTCAACAGGTTATACAATTATAATAGATTCCAAACAGGTTATATGATCCTCCTTGACGTTTGGCTGAATTTGCTTTACACATAGCTGTAACAGCTTTCCACTGCTTATTACGGGTTTTTTTCTTCATAAATCGACTTTTATACCGTATTCGATCTGACATTTAATTTTTATTCCAACCAAAAATTAATATCAAGCTCTATGTATCTACATTAGCTACCAGAAGGGAATTGCGCTGTTGCCACGATTATAGCGACGCACTCTGCACGTGTGGAAGACCTATTCATGCATGAGGTGTTTCTGTGTGAGGAGATGCGGACTGTATAATATCCGTCAAAAGTTTTCATGCGATATCATTACATGAGGCTCGGGTTTCACAATACGATACAGTCGAAACGTTTGGGTCGTACGTGTACCGATAGAACTACCTTAACTGTAATTAAATCCTAATTGTCATGACGTCGCAATACATTATATTACATTATGTTTTTAAATACACGGAAGTTTCATTAACCTAGCTCGAAATTGCACAATATTCAGTATGATTCACGTAAAGGTGATATAGTGATGGCAATAACGTCTCGTGCTCATCGTCAAAGATTTCACAGCTAATCTATGAGATGGCGCCAGCATTGATGAGATATTGACATTCATTTTTTCACATGGCTCAATTGAATATTTAAAATACCAATTGCACAATAGGATTTTAAATATTTATACATACGACTTATAAGCATAATATTTATCTACAAAAGAATATTTCAAAGCTTTTACGATGTCCAGATTAGGAAACAGAATTAAACGAAATTTGTTATGTTCCCATTGAGATACACTCTGCTTTAAGACAAACCAGTATTTCCATAAAGCCTGTCAGATGCTTGAAGATATATATTACTCAATATATATAAATACAGAGAACAGTCTACAACGAACGACGGATAGAATGAGTGAACATAGAGCAGAGACACTCGAGGGCTTATGGCGCGGAGCCTTGGGGCCAACACCCAGAAGAATAGGGTGCCAAGATAAAAGTGTACAGAGAAAGAGAGTGAATGAAAGTCAGAATATGTGTACGTGTATGGAAGAAAGAGAAAGAAGGCTTTTTTATTTAATTAGCGAAATGTACAGGCTGAAAGTAACGAGCAAAAGTACTGAACTCAAAGACACGCCACCATTGGTGAATTCAGGTCAATTATACGCTCCGCAATCCATTTTTGTCTTTTGTCATTGAATAATAATCTACTTTATATCCCAATCATCATCGATTATATAAAAACTTTTATATCTATAAAATCCTAACAGAACTTGACTCGACTTATTCTAAACTGATGTAACCTAACCTAACCTACTCCATCACCATCAGCAATATCAACGTCAATAAAGTTGTTTTTATCTGCGATATACCATTAGTTCAATAACTAATATTTTCTGTATCTCAACTACCCTGGATTGCTTTCCTTTGGTAAGTATCGACTGTAACCCTCACTTATGCTAGATTTTATTGAATTAATTCGATTAGTTCTAGACATTAAACTAGAGTGAAAGCCATGTTAAGTACAATAAAGAATTACGAGACAAAGTCCTTAAGGTAGTATGAGCGGAGTACATAGTCAATAGAAAGTCCATATTTTTAATTATGAGTAAAAACCAAAGTATTAATCATTGCGGTATATTAAAAATCATAATAAAAAGAGAGAAAATTTAAGAATTGTATGCGATGATAATGCATGTATATTTATAAAACGGTAGTACTTGAAATAGCATTCACATTTGACTCAGATTGTCTAGCCGGCCGCCATCTTGCGATTCACGGAATACGCGTGACAACACTGTAGTCAGTTATTCTCTGACGGTTTGACGCCAGTTGCGCGAAGTGCCATATTCTATCTACTATTAAGTCATACACTACCGGTCAAAAGTTTAGGTTCACCTCGCATTCTT